ACTTTGATCTTGGCAATTGTTGAGGCCTCCGTCTGCATTTTCAGGAATTTTTGAAAAAGCAAATCAGACTGAACCTCAGAAATGCTGTGGAAATCGAAGGAAATGATCCCCACACTGCTGTCTGCCTTGTCTAAATGAAAATGGATTTGTTCAAGCACGTTTGACATCTTTAAGTCCAACTCCACAGAAGTAAGCAAACTTTAAGGGGACCTGATGACTGTCTGCTTTCTCAGGTTGATTAAAAGGAGTCTTTAATGGACTTTCATATTGCAGGATGTCAGGGCAACACTTGCATAGTTATTAAGGACTGTTGGCTAAGTGTTCTTTGTAACTGTAACAAAGCAGGAGGTCTCCCATAACACTGGAACCATCTCCTGGATGAGGCTAAGGGTGAAGAAGTGCTGTAAAATCCCACAGAGCTGCTCTGCACAGGCCTACAGGACTCTGGGGCTAACACCATCAGGACCTGGAACCTTATTATAAGCTCAGTCTCTGCAGATATCCCTTCATCTGACTTCCAGAGATAGACAGGTGGAAGGCAAAGGGAGCAGCGCCATCTTCTGATTTGGTTGAGAACAAATATAAAAGCAGGCAGGTCCATAGGAGATTCCATAGTCCATGGGAGATTAAACAATTGGGGAGTGAGAGCGTAGCTTTGGGTAAAAGGAGGGAACATTTCTGAAGACTATTTGTTTTTTTTTGCTTTAAGCTGGTGATCTTTCTCATCCCTGACCAAACATCTTTGATATTGTTCTGCCAACTGGCCAGAGGCTCCCCCCGCTAAGGAGCTACATGGACGATGTCACCACCCTCCTTCAGACAGCACCATGTACAGCAAGACTGCTGAGGAGGATTGATGAGCTGATGCCATGGGCAAGGATGAAGATCAAGCCCTCCAAGTCCAGTAGCCTGTCACTCAGGAGAGGTGTCCGGAACGACAACACCACCTTCGTCGTCGGGGGAGGGAAGATCCCACTCCTTTCAGAGCAGCCCATCAAAAGCCTTGGGAGGCAGTACACTGCCGAGCTTTCTGACAAGCAAATGGGGAAAACCGTGATGAAGCAGCTCTCTGATGGCCTGACGAGAATTGACCAAAGCCAACTACCGGGCAAATACAAGGTCTGGTATTACCAATTTACAGTCTACCAGAGACTGCTGTGGCCCCTGAAAATGAGTGAGATCCCCTCATCAACCGTGAGTAGGATGGATGGGAAAGCAATTCATTTATCCAAAAGTGGTTGGGGCTGCCACGGTGCCTCTCTGAAGCCGGCCTATTTGGGAGGAACATGCTCCAGCTACCCCTAAGATCGCTACAGCTGGGCTACATGCAAGAAAAGACCAGGTTGGTGCTCGAGCTACGGGAGTCCACAGATGAGCTGGTTAGGAATGCTAACGCCAGGGTCCTGACTGGCCGCAAGTGGAACGCCCAGACCGAGGTCGACCAAGCGGTAAGCCGGCTGCAGCACAAGGAGATTGTAGGCAGGGTGCAGGTAGGAAGAGCAGGCCTAGGATGGGGAGAAGCACCACGCTTCTGGTCCAAGGCCCACCACAAGGAAAGAAAGGAAATGGTGGTGGCGGAGGTGACGAGGATGGAGGAAGACCGCTATAAGATCAAGGCTGTGTCTCAGGGACGGCAAGGAAGATGGACAACCTGGGAGGGAATCTCAACCAGGAACACCAGTTGGTGGTGGAAGATCCCACAGGCAAAACTTAGCTTCCTTATCCGCTCAACATATGACACGCTTCCCTGTCCTCGGAACCTTCATCAGTGGTTCGGAAACGAGGAATGTTGTGCACTCTGCAATGCTCCCAACGCAAGCCTCCAGCACATCTTGTCAGGCTGCAAAGTCGCCCTCTCACAGGGCCGCTATAGATGGCGCCACGACCAGGTCTTGAGAAAGCTAGCCAAAGTGCTGGAGGAGCGCAGAAAGGGTAGTAGAACACCATCGCCAGCAGAGGACCCCACCATCTTTGTCGCGGAAGGAGGAATCAGAAGCTTCATGCAAAGAGAAACCGCAAGGCCCTTCACTACTGGCCAGGAGTGGAGCATGAAGGTTGACCTGGACAGGAAGCTTCAGTTTTCCACAGAAATCACCACCACATCTCTCCGACCAGACATTGTGGCGTGGTCCATAAAAGCAAGAGCAGTAGCCCTCATTGAGCTCACTGTGCCAATGGAGGAAGGGATCGAAGCTGCCTTTGAGCGAAAAAAGGACAAATATTCACAGCTGACTGCGGAGTGCCGGGAGGCGGGCTGGAAGACTACCATCTACCCAGTAGAGGTCGGATGCCGAGGCTTCACAGGGTTGTCGACCATACGCCTCTTGAAAGACGTGGGAGTCACGGGAGGAAGGCTGAGGAAGGCAACAAAGGAACTGGCTGAGGAAGCGGAGAAAGGGAGCTTTTGGCTCTGGCTGCGGAGGAAGGACAGAACCTGGGGGAATAACACCTAACCCCCAGATAACAGTTGCAGGGAATAACATCTTTCAGCTGCAGGGGGTGACAGGGAGACGTCCCTGTCACTGCCCCGCCACCAGGAGACGTTCCAGGATTAAAGGGGCGAAACGTTGGTGAATGGTGGTTCCTGGCTGATGACCCTGCAGCTGACCCATGGGCACCGGAGGAGGTGCGACAGGCAGAAATGCCAAGCAGGATTTAACACCCTCCTGTATTATCCTGCTGGAGCTTTACCTCCAGCTTCCTCCTGTATACCTCCTTGCATTCTCTTATGTTGATCTTAGATTGTTTCTATATACTCCTCAATAATGCTGTCTCCCTCCCCGAAGGCTCTTTTTTCCTGTTTAGTAATTCCTTCAGAACAGTGATTATTTTGGGTTTGTTATATGGAAATGTTCAATACGGGGCAAGACTAATTTTCTTCTTCTCTCTCTTCCTTTTTATTACTGTTCCGCATCCTTGGTCTGGGATTTGACTGGACCAGAGTAATAAAAGAATGCCTATGCATAAGTTATTTTTTCCCACATATCAAGTAATTTACAGTCTTAACAGTTACAATGCTCACAGTCATTCCCAAAAGTTAATGAACCCCAACCGCATTTAAAAAGCAGTAATTTGGTATAGACTATTTTTAAGCAGAAAAACGTAAAGCGTGCAATTATTGAGGAACCATCATTTTACAGAATCATTGTGCAACTTCAGGAAAAATTACAGTTCCTTTATTTATTTGCTGCCCTCTTCACTGCTATGAAGCAAAATGTCTGATGACGCTCTTGCCACAAACATGAATATTGCCTCAGTAACTTTTAAAGATTTGATACAATTTTGGCTTTTTAGGTCTTTTTTTTTTTTGTATGAGAGAGCTGGCTGACAGTTTTTCACACCTTGATATAAGGTGTTGACTTTATAAGGTCAGCTGTTATATGCACAAATAAACATCATCTTAGATCTTTAAACCCCATCAGTTTTCAAGTTAGAATAGGAAAAGATATACTTGATAACTATAGATGAAATAGTCAATTGTCAGTTGATTGTGAGAATATCAGACACCTTGAATGGTTCAGTGTTTTCAGGGTTCAGAGATATTAGTTATCAAACTGTGGGAAATAATTATGAGGCCAATAAAGCTGTTAGTAATAATAATAAAAAAAGGAATTTGCTTTTTACATATTTTACATAAAGATTTTGTTCCTTTTAAAATACTTTGTTTTTTTTAAGGTCAAGAATAAGGTATAAAAAGAACATCATTAAAAGCTGTTTATGACATGGAGGAGGCTTATACGCTCAGAAGAAGTAGAAATGTTGAGTCTGGGAAATTGCAGGCAATGAGGAAGTCATCCTGTTTCAGCATGTGATGTGAAATTATGGATCAGTTTTCCAATAGAAATTAAAGACAGTCAAAACATCAAACCTTTTTATAGATAAAGTAAAGAAGAAATTATTCGAACAAGGATGATTCTGAAAGTGTATAATCTTAAAAATACAAACCTGATTTACTCAGATAAATTAATCTTTTTGGGGACAGTTGGAACAAGTATTTTTTTTTCCAAATCAGAAAGATGTTATACTGATGCCACTAATGCTCACATGGAAAATATGATTCTGAGGTGTTAGTATTTTCTTTCTATATATATACCTTTTATTGTCTTAACCATTCGTATGAATTAATTACAACTTCAAGATTTTATCATTGTCTAGTTTCCTTTAAGGTTAAATGGTTAGCATGTGCTAAAATCTGTGCGTCTCTATAATGTTCTGTCATAGCTGATGGAGGGTTGCAACTGTCCTCGTGAAAAATGGAGAAAAAAAGCCACTGTTTGTGAAATGAAATGGGTTTATGACATGTTGCATCTATCCCAGGGATGTTTAGCAAAGTTCTGCTGATGAACTGATTATTCTTTTCAGGTGTGTTGAACCAGAGACACATCTAACAAGAGCAGGACACCGGCCCTCGAGGACTGGACTTCAACACCTCTGGTTTAAAAAAATGGGTTGTTGGAAATGATTTAGCTGTTAAATAGCAAAAGAAGGGCGCTAAATAAGTTGTATTTTGAACACTGACATATTTGCTGTATTTGTTTTTTTTTTTTAAGGTATGTCTATTTTATTGATTTTGTGTGCTTCTCTTTATATTATTGTAATTAATAGTTGGAAAAGCAAATAAACCAATATAAAAATACACAATAAATTAAACAGAGCAGATCACACACAGGTGGGATAGAACCATTAATAAGGTAAAACAAGCTCTGAAGTCAATTGGTTGTACTGGATTTTAATTTGAGTGTCATTGTAAAGGAGAATCAAAACACAACTTTTCACTTGTTTTTTTTTTTTTATTTTACAAAGATTTTGGAACCATGCATTACCTGGTTTTGTCACAAGTACGCTTATTTCCTCTTTGTCACAAAATCAGATAAAGTTCAATGAGATAAATATGCATGTAAAGAGTGTATAAGTATTTAAAGGACGTTTTAGCTTTGAAAATTTGAAGGGAATAAAAAATATTTAAATGAACTGAAAAGAAAAAAAAAGGACGAAAAATGTAATATTTTATGAAAAAAAAAAGACTGTTTTCATCATACTATTCTGTCAAAATTTAAAATATTTCAAATTTGACTCTAGCTATTAACCACCTCTTCCATTAGGGTTGAATTAGTTGCAATAAACAGGTAACTTATCAATAATACAAAATATGATCAATCAACCATCTGTAGATTTCATCCTATTTTCCTGCAACATCCAGAATCTCTGTTGTTCCGTCAGGTTTTTGGCCGAACGTCTAAAATATCTAATTTTGTACAGAACTCAGTCAGAACATATGGAAAGAAAAAAGTTAATCTTTAACATTTAGTAAAGACACATCTGGGATAACATCACTTTTGTTTTGTGTGTTCTTTAGTTTTGAGTCTCTGGCAAGGTCTTCTTCATCCTCAAAGTCATCATCATCTTCATCATCATAATCTTCATCAGAGTCGAAATCCTCCTCCTCTTTTTTCCCTCGCTTGTTTCCTTTCTTTCTCTCTGGCTCTTCCTCTTCTTGTTCATTACTGTCCAGGTGTGAGTTCACCCTAATGAGTGACAGAGAAATATTTTTTTTTTTCTGTTTACAACAGCAAAGAAGATAAGTCCAGACGTTTATTATCATTAAACCTGTGATATACATTACAAAATATTTCCTGAATTTCACAATGACAACTTGTTTTGTAGGAGATGAAATGACAAAATCTTCCTCATAAATGGTGGTAATGTGTCTCATTGTCCACAAGAGGGCACACTCAGACTAGCTTCATTTTGTGTCCATGCCCTTACCATGCATCTCCATATAAGGACTATCCTGACCTAACAGCATCATATAGAGCAGGATGGTCTTAATTCTAATTTTAATCTGCAGAGAATTTGGTTCAGAAGAAAACACAGAGCAACTTTTCCACTCACGGTATAACAATCTCCTCATTCTTCCCACATTTGCAGCAGACGTCAAGCTGGAGCGAACAGGGCTTGCAGATGATGTGATATGCATCTCTTATAGTCTTTTGAGAGCACTTGACACTGTAAAGAGAAAACCCCATGCAGATTGTTATCAACCATTTTTTTATATATATTTTATGCACATAGAGAATATGAAACATTTGTAAACACTGTTAAATGCAACTGCTTATGTTTTTTACTGATAAACTAGAGAGCTACTAGGACAAATACTGGGCTTCAAATGCCGTTTCAAAACAACTACAGACAGTTCAGTATGGAGCAGTGTTTACACTCACCCTCACTCTAATAATAGAAAAAAAAAATTCCAATATGAAAGAAAACAGGTGGAAACTATTCAAATGCTCAACTTTTTGCCATGTCAGTACACTCATATTGTTCCTTTTGGGAATATATGATGTGGAAATGTTAGGGATATTAAATAGGCTGTATATATTTACATATTGGTTGTCTTATGTTTTTTTTTTCCTACTGCAGTACTTTGTTTTTTATTATGTCATCTGTACTTTATTTTTTAAGGTTTGTTCAAAATGCTGAGATGGCCCTTTCCAGACTGCAAAACAAATGTACCTACGGGTATCAACAAAGTTACTTTGAAAGTGATCATCAAGGAGCCTTTTGGGTGAAATGTGGGAAAGATCTTTGAATTAATTTTGTTTATTAGTAGGCGTTTTAATTTTCTGATAATGAATGTAATGTAATAAATGTAATGATTTCACTTTAGAGGGATTTGGGTCTTTAGAAGGTTCAACAATGTTTTATGCTTCTTTGTGTAGAGTTAAAAATCTTGTTGTTTATATGAATGTCAAAATCTTAGAAACATAAGTTTGTTTTTTTTCCTCCTTTAGCTTACTTGATGTGATTCTGATTCTAATTAAGTATTTCCTTTCTCTGTAACATTAATCAAGGAAAGGAGAAACTAGTGAGTGGGAACCAGAGGAACGTGGCAATTCCCTGTTCATTTATGCCTTAACAACAGAGCTGATCAGAGTTTCACAAAGAACCTAGCTAGATTGGACAGCTGTTTTGTTTTTGCTTTTTTTTTTAATTTTAGGTTTCTGGACTTTAAAACCTGATACGCTGATTCCAATTTTGATGGATACAATTTATTTTTTTTATTTTTATAAATCAGTCATTGTTTATAAAATCAAAAGAGACCTTCAATATTTTAATCTTATCCAAATTAAATACAGTAATCAGTAACTGAAACAATATAAACTTCTGATAAAACATCTCTGAAATCTAAATTGATTAAAGCATTGACAGCGGTTGATCTTGAGACCTTTGTAGACGTGAATATCACCAATTTCACATCTAAGTATTGGCGATAATCAACATCCCAAAAAATGGAAATTTAGGCCGATCAATTGGTGCACCCCTATTGTTTTGGTCCAAAAAAAGAGGAAAAAAATGCAAAATTTGGCTGAAACAATCAATCGGGTTAGTCAAATATTAAAATAATGGTCAGCAAATTTAGTTAATGATTAATCGTTAACTGGAGTATAGACTTTTAAACATGCCTTTAGCTGACAGAGCAACCCACTTAGAGAAGCCACTATACCACAATTGTAAAAAACATGCATAAATATTAAATTTGTTCAGATCAGTTCATTTAAATGCAAAATAAATGTTTTGCATTTAAGAATAAATAAAATGTTTCGTCTGTCGATATGCTCCATCATGAACTCAAGTGGAAAAGTTTCAGTTTCCCCCGTTTTAAATCCTGCAAAAAATCTTCTTTAAGGAACATTTTTCTATCAGATTATTAAAAAAATTATCGACAGAGAATTAAATGAGCAAAATTAGCTTTAGTTGCAGCCGTATTGCTAACAGCTTTTTTAAATTACTGATGTGTTTAATAATGACAAGAAAGGCAAAGCAGGAAAACTGTCAGGGCACAACATTAAAGAAGAAATCTGATTGTCAGGACAGAAAACAATGCAGAATGTGTTGAAAATAGAAACAAAGGAATCAAAAAGGTAGAAAAAGGAGAGTAAGAGTATATATTGTAAGAAATCTGATAAAACAATAGATTTATGTCTAAGGAAAAAAACACTAATGTAAATGATATTTAAATGCTCAAAAGAAAAACATAAGGTTCCAGTGTTTTTAGCAACTAAGAGGCCATAGATGAGCTTCTGCATCATATATTAATATATTTCGAAGAGAAAATGGAAGAGTTGTTCATTGGTATCCAAATCAATACGCTGGTGAAGATTCTCAGTTATCCAAGTCATAGTCATTCCAAAAAAAAAAGAAAATTAAAATAATTCACTGGACTTTTTTTTCAAGTTTGAAGACGTTTCACTTCCCATCCAGGAAGTTTTTTTTTTCTTTACATCACATTTTGAATTGAAAAAGCTTCATGGATGGGAAGCGAAATCCATGCTTGAAAGATTTTATTATTTTCCTAAAGTCGAGCAGAGATTAATCCAATTAAAATAAATCAACTTAATAAGGAAAATTGGGGGAAAATAGCCAAAAATATTTCATTAATTTAGCATTATGTTAAAAAAAAAGACGAGTTAGGCAACACATTTTAGAAATCACCTGAGAGCCTAAACATATTGCTGACATAGAAAAATAAGTACATAACTATAAACTACATTGCAGTTAAACGATCAGAAACCTAAACAATGTCCATGTCCATATATTTACCACTTTTTGAGCTGAGTTAGAGGCTTGTATTTGTTGTACTTGACTTTCCACTCAAGAACTCCTTTGCAGTGTTGACAGAGTCCATCGTGGATCTTTGAATTGGCCTTCTGTAGTTCAGAACATTAAAGCAGAGATCATGTGTTAGAGTCAGATAATGCTGAAAGACTGAAAACTATAGAGAGGTGGATAAATCTATACAAGTTAACCTTGCTTTACACTCATCTGATCTTGGCTCTTTTTAAACACATTCTCCCCCCGAACCTAAATTACACGTACTTTTTGCTACTGAAAAGATTGTTCAAGCTTTCTTATGTTTTTTTGCTTCAAGCTTAATATATATATCCAATATATTTTTAAACAGGCTATCGCAGAATTCACTCACTTTTACTTGCACAGTCGCGCCGTATTTGTCGTTTTTAAAAGCCTTTGTGTTTTTATATTTCTGAGGTCGCGATCGAGAAACGTTTCCTTTCTGGGAGCTCATTTTGTTTTTTTATCTTTGGATAAATTATGTTAAGCGGGTTAAAAAATTTCCAACAAGCATGCTACCACAGGGAAGCCGTAACCCGGAAGTAGTTGTCTTCTTCTTCTTTTCTATTATGGCGGATCGCAAGCAACTTTAAGGTGCATACCGCCACCTACTGTACATGAGTGTGTGGCAACATTACTGTACATCAAATTCTATTTTTTGTATTTTGTATTCTGTAGATAAATAAATAATGCTTTGCTTAATGTGTGAATATCATTTAAATTTCCTTCATTTCCCAATAGGAAGTAGTTGTCTCCGTCACGAGCCGTCATAACACGAGCATTTTATCTATCTGAAATATATTGGGGTTGTATTTTTACTTTATTTATTTCCATTGTAGTTTAGGCTTTAATGGAATAACATGTATCAATTGCTGTTTTATTTCTAGAGTAATTTCCAACAAAAACATCACGCAGCCGCTGTAGACACAGAACCCTGCAGAAAAAAAATACGTAATCCTGTCCGCCATATTGAGAGTGGCAAGTGAACTTTAGGAAATATGCAGTTTATTGTATATGACTACACATAATAATAATAATAATAATAATAATAATAATAATAATAATAATAATAATAATAATAATAATAATAATAATAATAATAATCATCATCATCATCATCATCATCATAATAATAATAATAAAAATATTTATTTGAACAATGTTGAATAATTAGAAGATGATGTCATAAACGAGCCGCTTTGTTTTTAAAAGATAAAAATATAAAATATATAACCGCGGATGTTTGGGGGACAGTGATTCGCCTACATGTTATGAATGCTGGCGTACCATAAAGAATAAATAATGAACATTTTAGTTTGTTCCTTCAAGTCATTTGCCCAAAGGAAGACATTACTTGGATATAACCTTACCGAATATCTTCAGAACAGCTCCAAATGACCCAAAACTCATATGGGTGAGTAGAACATGATGTAATAACTTTAAATCAAGGGCCAATTGTAAAAAAACGGCGTTCCCCTTTGACTAGTTTTCAATGGGACCAGAAATTAAGATGGTAAAGTAAAAAGTAAAAAATAAAATGCAAATACAAAAAGGATTCAAAATATTCAAGCCGGAAAAGATCATTGAAATAGAATAAGAAATTACCCTTTTAAGCGTGTGATTAGGAAAGGTATTTATATTCAGATTTATGGATTGCTGTGTTTAAAAGAGTTTAAAAATACATTAATCAAACAATAATAATAATAACAATAATAACTGAACTTTATTAATCTCACGCTGGAGAAATTTACCTTTGCATTTAACCCATTCCCTTGGGGAGCAGTGGGCTGCCATTGTGCTGTTCCTGGGGAGCAGTGTGGGGTTACGGCTCTTGCTCAGAGACCCAAAGTGCAGGCTGTTGGCATCGAACTTAAAACTTACAACCCTCTCAGAGCAGAAGCGCACTGCTCTAACCACTAGGCCAACACTCCCCCATAATTGTCGTATTTGATAATGGATTAACGAATACAACTTACAAGCCCTGTTCCATAGTAAAATGTACAATTAGAAAACAATCTTCAAATTGTATTTCTAATTGCTTGATTTTAAATACTATTATTTATCAGTGACTCAGACTTATCAGGTTATTCTTTATCAGTGACTCTCCTACTCTCTGGCCCACACTTCCAGCACAGTAGATGGCAATAATCCATCTTAACATTTGATACTAGCCCACAAAAATCCAAGAAGGAGAAGAAGAACAAGAAGAAGACTTGACTTTTAACAACACTTTATTTACACAATTCAAACATATAAACAATTGACCTAAAATAAGTCTGAGTTAAAAATCATTAAATGAGGAGCTTGTGAAAATGTAGTCCTCCATCATCTGAACCATCACATAAAATGTTGTTAAAACTCCACAGTTGAATCAAATCCCCCATGTTCTGTCTGACTCTGTGGAAGTGAACTCCAGCCTTATTCTGGCTTTAACGTTGCATTTCCACCAAGCCACGGCATCGAGGTGAGCTGCCTCCTGCAGTCTGTCTCTACAGGACAGGTAAATGGCCATCTTTGCTACACTGTTTAAAAAATGAAATAAATTAAAAATAAATGAAAAGCCTTTGGTTTATTTCATTTGTTTTGGAAAACTCATCCTATAAAAATAGCATTTGCAAAAATGCTCCCAAAAAGACTAAATACACTAATTAAAAGATTGAAAATTTGTCTTTAGTTTTGTGCATTCCACAAAAGAACAACAAGCAGAAGACACATCATAACACAAAAATACAAAAACAGAATATAGTAGGTGGAACTATAGAGCTAAAAACTCATGTACAGTAGGTGGCGGTATGCACCTATAAGTTGTTTGCAATCCGCCAATCTAATAAAGAAGAAGAAAAAATACAAATATCTATGCCACTCACAACATGGCCGTGGCGTTGGCATTCATTGGCCCTCCCTTTGCGTGAAGCTATCTGTAAACTACGTTAAAGCTGCCACTCTGCGGCGTCGTGTAGGACCTCCCCAACATTTCATCTAACAGTTGACTAATGGTGGACGCGGTATACTGTTCGCAATTGGTCCTCATAGCTGTCGCCCCGACGCCTTGCCCTCCTTAGGAGCGTAGTGATAACCAGGACCTGGGCAGAGAGAGGGGCTCCGCATTCAGCTCGGCTTCAGACCTGTTTTCCACATTTTATTAAAGTATCTCGCGCCTCCGTTCGTAGTTGTTACTCGTGTTCTCGTTGAGCTTTTTCGACTTGGACAGCGTGAATGAAGCAGCGCTGTTAACATTCAAGACCATCTGCTTAGAGAAAAGGGAGGTGGAAGAAAGAAGGAAACGACAGTAGAGAAAAAAAAAAAAAAAAAAAAAGACGGAGGTTGTTTGGACCAGGACGACAAAGCGGCTAGCTTCCGGAGCTGTGAGGGCTATTTACACTCAACGTGACATTGATAACTGATAGGAGATAAAACCGAGGATAATCTGTTGCCGGGGACAGCCTCGACAATCTGCTGGCGTCGAAAAGAAGATAAATTAGTTAACGAGGTGTGAGCAAAACATTAGACTGGAGCATCGCTGTCATCTGGAGGAAAACAAAGGAAACACAACGGTTCAGGTAACGTTGGATTTATCAATCTACTAGAAACATTTGTCTGTTTTTGTTTTGTCATTGCTAATAATTTATTCAAACAAATGCAAACCCAGATGGAAAATGACGGTGGGAAGCTGTTGGCTCTTCCTGGGTTTGGGCTCCTTCAGGAAGATGCTGAGGAGCCTAATGGGAACATTTATTATAACAAGTGGCTTCAAAGAGTCTAAACTCTACATTCTTCTTACAGTTGTTTATATTGGCAGTTCAGCAGACATTTAAACAGAGCTGAATCCCACGGATAAGACCTCCACTGTCATAGAGGTATGAAGGCAAATCTGATTAAATTACAGAATAAAAGTTATTTTCCAAGACCAGCAGACAAAACAAGCCCTTTCTGGTTTAGCTAAGTGGATGACATCACTGCCAGGCTTTTCAAAAATGATATTATTAGTTGTTTTTTTTGCTGGAGTAAAAAGTCACATGCCTGTCTATTGAAGAGGATTAGAGGCACTGATAAAATAAAAACAGTTGAGTTTTTTAATTCTATTTCAGTTTAATATGGGGAAAAGGTCAGAATTCTGATTTTTTTCTCACAATTCTGACTTTAATCTCAGAATTTTTTTCCTCTCAATTCTGACTTTGATTTCAGAATTCTGATTTTGATCTCAGAATTCTGACTTTAATCTCAGGATTCTGACTTTAATCTCATGATTCTGACTTTAATCTTAGAATTCTGACTTTAATCTCAGGATTCTGACTTTAATCTCAGGAATCTGACTTTAATCTCAGGATTCTGACTTTAATCTCAGGATTCTGACTTTAATCTCAGGATTCTGACTTTAATCTTAGAATTCTGACTTTAATCTCAGGATTCTGACTTTAATCTCAGGATTCTGACTTTAATCTCAGGATTCTGACTTTAATCTCAGGATTCTGACTTTAATCTCAGGATTCTGACTTTAATCTCAGGATTCTGACTTTAATCTCAGGATTCTGACTTTAATCTCAGAATTCTGACTTTTTTCCCCTCAGAATTCTGACTTTTTTTTCTCACAATTCTGAATTTAATCTCAGAAGTCTGACTTTAATCTCAGAATTTTGGATCTTAATGTAGATGGGCACCATGGCGGAAGAGATGTGGGAGCACTTAGCTTCACTGACAAAGATGTGAGTTGTTTGAGAGGGCCAGTACACATTGGTGGAAAATTATGCCACTAGGCAACTTTTTACGTGCCCAAGGTAAAGTGATGCTATTTCATTAATGGAAGAGCAGAAGGTGATTAAAACAAGATAGGTAATCTCTAAAACAGACATGGCTACGGCTTGATGCTAACCTGTTTGGTAGCTGTCAGAATTCAGTCAGAATTCTGAGATTAAAGTCAGAATTCTGACTTTTTCTCATATAATACTGAAATAAAATTTTTAAATCTGTTAATTTTTTTTTTATTTTTTTTTTTTTCGGTGACCCTAATCCTCTTCTGTACCTTTCTGTTTCCATCAAAGGTTGCATTAGGGAGAAAAAAAGATCTGGGCCACATGCCAGTACATTCTCCTTACTGAAAACGATCTGCATCATGCTATGTTTGTGTTTAACTGAAAGACATTTCCATTCAAGGACAGTTATTTATTCTAAACTCTGTAGCACTTGCTTTTTTTTTTTTTTTAAACAGCCAAGACTTGGATCAAACTAAACAATCTGCAGCAGCTCTAGAAACTCAGTCATACCCATAAAGATGTTACCAAGCGTGGCAGGACAACACTGGGACACCATGGCTTAACATTGCATTGTTTATAACCATTAACCTCATTTTCTGGCTTCTTTCTTCTCCAGCATCACAATTGTGTGCATCATTGGCTATTTTAACCACTGAGATATCAAAATGTCAGCTGTCTTAGGAAAATGGTGGCTAATATCCTGTGTTACATTAATGAAAACAAATTCTTCCTAAAACCACTTCTCTAATGATAAATCAACATTTTTAACATAAAGATGTGGGGATTTCAAAATGAATAGTTTTAA